AGTTGTTTATTTTTGTGTTTAATCAGTAGTAACTATCTTTGCGTAACAGCAGTTGGCACTTAACATAGTTCCTTTTTCAGTTTTCCTGTTTCCAAAAAGCAGACTAAATCTTGCACACACAGCCATAACCAGCTGAAATATTTTCTTTAACACAGCTCAGCTTATTTATGTGTATCAGCAAGAGTTACCACATTTACACACAGGGAATCCATGCTAAATTTAATGACACTGACCATGAAAAAAAACCTTTTTCAGGCTTATGGGAGTAACAACTCATTGCCACAAAGGAAAAAAAAATAATAAAAATCAAACATTTTAGTTGTTAGCATTGTTTTTTACCGATTTCATGCACGCAGAAGACCTCAAATTATAAAAGCGTAAGTTCTGTTAAAACTTTGTCTCACCAAACTTTTACATTAAATTCAGATATTAAGCTTAATGCCAAAACATCGGAATCACAAACCTTCGCCCCCAAAACGAACAGCTTTAATGCTAAAAGACTGAACATGCCTTAGAGAACATGCTCTGCCCTGCATAGCAGAATCCCTGAATTTTAACTTCCCAAACTTTCATTTAGTAACATTTCTCACAAGCACCTTGAGATTTTTACAATGAAGATTTTCTATACATAAAATCTTTCAAAGACTAAATAAAAATCCTTATCAAGTTCAACAAAGACAAGTGCAAGCTCCTGCACCTGGGAGGACATAAACAAGGAGCCCAGCACAGGATAGGATCTGTGTGGCTGGGGAGCAGGCTCACCTAAAGAGACCTGGGGGGCCTGATGGACAAACAACTGAAAATGAGTCAGCAGTGTGCCACTTCATCAATGAAGGCAAATCACATCCTGGTCTGCACAGGCAGGGCCATTACTAGCAGAGATGGGATCATTACACTCAGCACTTCCCAGGTTGCACCTGGATTGCTGAGTTCTGGTCCACACAATTCAAGAAAGATGTGGACAGACTGGAAGTCTGAGGAATGGCCACAAGCGTTAAGTCTTTCCTACCGGAGAAGGCTTGGGGCTAGGAGGGAGGGGGGAGGAACCTCGTGATAGCTTCCCAGTAATTAAAAGGCAGCCACAAAGAGTATGGAGGCTCTCTCTTCACAAGAAACCACATGGATAACACAAGGGGTAACAATGACAAGTTACACTAGGAGAGGTTTCATCTGGGTATAAGAAAAAAATCTTTCCCAGTGAGAGCAATCAGTCACAGGAACAAGGTCCTCAGGGACATGGAGGCCATGGTAGAGTCCTGATCACTGGAGGTTTTCAAGATGCAACTGAACAGGGTTCTAGGTAATCTCAACCATACTTTTCCCACAAAAGGCTGGACAAGATGATCTTCGGATGTGCCTTCCAACCTGGGTTGTTCCACAGCTCTATGTTCTATGACTCCCTAAAATCACATCAACAACTGCATTACTCAAAGCAGGAAAAGCAACTGGCATTGAAATAAAGCAACTATTTACTTTGCTCAGGTTTGTTCTTAGGTTAGAGATTTGCAAAAAAAAACAGATTTACTAGTTTTAAAAGCTTGAAGGAGATGTCTCAGATGAAACTGCATGCATTCAATTAACTTGTTTCCAACGCAAAACCTGTTTTGACAGTTTTCCTTCCCTGATTCTTCTGTATTCTCAGTAGTTTTATTCAACTACTTTTCAAATATTGCACATTCCAATTGAAAAATAAAATTCCATTAAAATGCAATTTACAAAGACAAGACGTAAAATCTTAGAATGGTTAGGGCTGGAAAGGACCTTAAGATCATCTAGTTCCAACCCCTATGTAGTTGATTTATATATATATGACTTACAGTTTTATAAATAAAACTCACAACATTCACCAGTTAATAGAGTACATAATGGATAACTGGAATAAATATAAAATAAATCAAGAAATACCTTTTAAAACTATATTAATTATTTTCAGAAAAAATCCAGAGAGATTTACCACATCTGATATTGCTCATAACTATAGGAAATCAAACAACTGGAGAGGAGACCAACCAAAAGCATGTCATACAATGTTTCCCAGAACTTTCTAGCCAGTGTCAGTTTCTTTACAGGCCAAGGCAGGCTGAGGACCTGACAATCATAGTAATGCTTTTTAACTAGAATCTCTGGAGCTTATCAAAGTCAACCTCCTACTTGAAGTAGGCCTACCCATAGATCCGCCATGGTGCTGTTTGGTTAAACCTGTCATAAAGCAGTCAAAAATGAAGATGTCAAAAAACTCTCCAGGTGACCTGTTGCAGTCCTGTGCTCTCTTTTAGAAAAAGCCTTGTTTGACTACATTCCCATGTTGTGACCACTGAGCTTCAGCCATGTTAAGCAAACAAGAAACTTGTAAATTCAGATTACCATCATTTGCAACCAGATGTTTTAACAGCTTTCACAAGTTTATCAATTCTTTTGGGTTTTTTTGTACCCAAAAAAAACCCCACAACATAAAGACATTATTTAAATAACAAATTTTATTCTATTTAGAAACTATCCCTTAAATCAATCTAGGTTAGACTGTAACCCAAAACGTAAAACATCAGAGGATCTACTTTTTGTCAGCCAAGCATAAGAAAAAAGTACACTCTAAAAACCAGCTTTGGACTCAAAACTTAACATCTTCCATCTTTGCTTATTGCTTTTCCTCCAGTACAAATCACTCTTCCTTCCTCAGACAGTCTGCATGGGTAATAGGGCAGAAGGGCAGACATGAAATTACTTGCAGTCTACTAAATTCTCTCTCCCTGCTGTTACAACCTGGCCCACACATCTGGGCCTCCAAACACTCCAGAACGTTTACTGCAGGGCTTTGGGGATGTTCCTGTGTGTTGTTATTCTGAAGCTGCCAGTGGTAACCTCAGTTACTTTAAGAAATTAACTTTATTATTCACAGTTACAGCATTAAAAGTTCTTTTGGATGGTAAAAATAAATACTAGATACTACCAGATGACATATACACTGTATTTACTAGGAAAGTCACAAAACAAAAATATTGATTTTTCCATCACAATCTATATGTACACATTTAAGAGAAAATGCACAGCAAGGAAATAAGGGTACAGCAACCATCTGATCATACTCCAGATGTACACTTACAAATCCATACTGTTTGCAATAATAAAACATCCTGAAATTCTTTAACTGAAATAATGAATCAATAAGATGAATCTTCAAAACCTTCTACTTTACTACAAATTGGCTCTTTACAAAAGCATTAGGCTTACTCCAGGGTATTACCATATCACACTGGAGCAGCCTTGAGGACATGCTTATCTTGGCACAGAAGCAGTCCCTGAACTGTCAGTTTTAGCTATGGGTGTGGCATAAACACTAAGGCAGAACTGTTGTGGTGCCAGCAGATCTCTACACATAATAGCAGCTGACCGTTTCTTGCTAGGAACTGCTATTGCTTTTAGTGGACACAGATGTGTAATGTGTATACATGGCAAGACTTTATACAGTTGCTGATTTCACAATATTTAAGGACAGGCTCAAAAACTGAGATATCTCCATTAAGGAAAGGGAAAACTTTCACTAAGATATGGTGTCAAAAAAACCACAGATATCCAAGATAAACACCTATCTTATTATTTCTATCCTTTAAAATTTGCTAGAATAAAAACACTAAAAGAAACAGAACAAAAACTTTTATATTGTGTTAAACAGAAAACTCACCGATGCACCTCTTACTGTGTGATAGCCTTGCCGTTGAGCTGCATGCCAAAATTTCCATACAGCCAAGGCCCCCGAGGTATATATTTTGAGGAGAGCCAGGAGAGGGACTGGGTATGGTATAGGGCCTGGGCAAAGGGGGGGGGGGTCCACATACGGTCTGTGAGGCTAGTGCCACCACTTTGAGGTAGTACTGGCTTGCTTCCTCCCACTGCTGAGGACTCGGCTTTCTCTCTGATCACTCCCCAGCACAAACTCATTTTTGTGGCCCAGGCAGGAGCTACATTCAGCTGTCCACCAACTGCATATTTCAGGCATCAAGCCATCCCCATTACATACAATCTTCTGTTTGTTAGCCAGAATAACAGCCAAGATCAGGGGGATGTCTTGACAGTATGGGAACATGATGCACACGTGCTGCTGCATGGAGTTAGCAATGAAGGTTTATAGCTCCAGCTAAGTTTCAGACCCACAGCCTTTCTTCTCATGGCATTATCTCACACAAGGTCTGAGGAATACTTATGCCTTGAAGAGTGTATAGCTCACCATGGTTATGCAAGTTCAAAGGCTTCTGTATCCAATTCTTGCCAGGCTGGAGATGAATCACAGCAAAGGTAGCTCACATGTCTCTGCCTCTGATCTAATTGAGCAGTCAAGTGAGTAAACTACCAGTGGGTAATGCAATTTTGCCAGTGCTGGTGGGGAGCATCCCCTGTGAATGCAGCAGATACCTAATGGAGACTAGGCCAATGCCTGTAGCACACAGGCAAGCATGCCCTTTGCCAAAAACAGGTCTTTTACCAACAGCCATGAAGGCAGCCAGCCACACAGTATGGCATCATGTGTGGCGGGACAAGTGAACCCTGCAACCTCATCGCACACAGCACACAGTGCCAGGGTTTGGCCAGGAACACAACCTCCTACAGCACAACCAGGGCTGCAACCTGGCTCAGTTTCTGCCTGACAGCATCCAGACCAGGCACGAAATGTTTAATCTAGGACTATCTCGGTCTTGTTGCTTCCTCTTACAACAGGGGCAGTCCATAACCCGGTGTTTTTCAGGCAGCCCGGGGGCAGGCACAGGGCGCAGGATCTGACTGCTGCTCCCTGAGCCCCGGAGCAAGGCCCAAGCCCCGGCCCGGCCATGCTGCCGCTCTCGCTCCCGCCCCTAGGGCACAACCCTACGGGGAAGTCATGACCCCCCTGCCCCCCAAAACCGAGTCCCTCATGCTCATCCCCAAGCGACGCCGGCATTCCCCGCCCAGTTACCCCCACGCCTCCGCGGGAAGAAACAAGACCGTCCCCGCCCGGGCCGCGAGCGCACCTGTAATTGTAGCTGCTGAAGCGCTGGCTCTCCCGCAATAGGGCCCGGTACAATCGCAGCACCTGGGCCCGGCTGGACGCTGCCATGTTGCCGACACCAGGTGGGTCCTCCCGCGGCGAGGCCCCTTTCCCCGCCCGTAGCGCCCGAGGCCGTGCCGGCCTCCGGAGCCGCCTACCGGCACCCGCGCCGGCCTCTCTGCGCGCCTCCGCGGCGGGCAGGCAGGGGAGGGGGCAACCGCGGCGGCAGGAGCGGGAGCGCACGGCCTGGCGGTGAGTGGCGGAGCGGAGGGCAGCAGCGGCCGCGGCTCGTCCTGGGCCCAGCGGCAGGCCCGGGGCGGGGCCGAGACAAGCAAGGCCGCAGCTTCAGCGGCGCAGAGGAGGAGGAAACTCTTCCCTGGCTGAGGCAGCTCTGGGGGACGGCGTGCGGTCTTTCTGCGCCTTGGGCTCGGGGCCAGTCTTGCCGGCTCAGTCCTGTCAGGCGCTGCCGGGACAACGTGCCTTCAGGTCCGCTGCGGGATTGTTGATTAAACTCGTTTTACCCTGAAGCGCCACCACGACTTCTCCGTGGGGGATCCTGTCAGGCTCGGTCGGTACTGCGAATGGCCCGAAGGCTGGCAGGGCAGGAGGGCCTAAGAGATAACGAAAGCGAAAGTAGCGTTCAAATAAACTGGGCAGTGATAGCAACCTAGTAAAATGAACCTAGTTCATTTTATTAGTGTGTTGCATGAGGAGGTGGGTGCTGGTGTGGTGGGGTTGATGTAGGGCCTGGAAACGAGCAACAGATGATAGGTGTTCGGCAATTGCATCAAGATCGCTGAGTTTGCAATGAATGTTCACCAGGGCTTGGTGTGCTGTAACTGTGTGTGCGGTGTGTTGCTCTCAGTATCCGAGTTTAAGCTGGATTCTATTACTTAAGCTAAATTGACCTGTGTATAGTGCAGGTACTGGTTAAGTTATGAGTGCGTGAAGGTTGACAAGCATTTCCTGTTCCTGGGCTTTTATTTTCAATATGAAATCCCCATTTATTTTTAAAGTTTGTGATTTTTCTTACTATTTTTCCACAGCCCTGAGAAATGACCATATGGGCTTTACCACTCCCCTGAGTTTCCCTATTTGTGCAGGTGTTCAGAAGCTGGATAACTGTATAACTGGATAACTTCGGGTGAATTTCGCACAGACCTATGTGTCTTGAAACTGTCCTTGGAAAAGGAGGTACCCAGTCATGAATCAGTGTACACTGTGCCTATGCATCATACAGGCCACAGAACAGCAGGGTACCTGAACCATTTAAAAACTGGGTTCTGCCTGTCTGTTTGCTAAATCTTTTCTTTTATTCTTCTTTGCTGTGAGGCTAGTAGGCTTTTTTTCTACTTAAGCACTTCTTTTATTGGTTATACCAGAAGCATCTTGATCTTTTTGTTGCTGGAAACAGCAGGTACCGTATACTACCGTATACCTAGCATCGTCTTCTGCTGAAAGTTTTGCTCCTGCAGAATAAACTTGATTTTGTAACTTATAGGTATATATAGGTTCTACATGGGGCCTATAAGGATGCTGGGGAGGGGCTCTTCATTAGGGACTGTAGTGACAGGACAAGGGGTAATGGGTTAAAACTTTAACAGGGGAATTTTAGATTGGATATAAGGAGGAAGTTCTTTCCTGTTAGGGTGATGAGGCACTGGAATGGGTTGCCCAGGGAAGTTGTGAATGCTCCATCCCTGGCAGTGTTCAAGGCCAGGATGGACGAAGCCTTGGGTGAGATGGTTTAGAGCGAGGTGTCTCTGCCCATGGCAGGGGGGTTGGAACTAGATGATCCTTTCTAACCCTAACTATTCTATGATTCTGTGTGTCTGGCAAAAGTGTGTCAGTTGCTGCTACTAGTGGAGCTCATATGATTGTATATGTACTTTGAGTATTATTTGTGTTAGTTGTAAATCCGATGCAATTTACAGTTGTAAATAATTGTAAATATTTACTATGTAAATAGTATAGACACACGTGGATTTATCTCAAATTCATCTTTATTGGTATGCTGTCTTTTGGCACCCTTGTTAGGCTTCTGGAAGTGGAGATTTTCCATACATGGCAAATATCTTAGGTATTCTCTTTGTCAAAACCAAAATGGGAAATGCTAGAGGAAATGTATTTTGAAGAAAAACGTAAATGACTGAGACACTGATAAGTACCAGGCTTTTGAGGCCTTCCTGTGTTAAGTTACAAAGCAATGTGGTTTGGGCTAGCTTTTGGCATTCAGGAAACCCAAACAGAAAAATATAAGTCAAACATACTTGTTAGTTACCTGTGGGACCAGCCAAATTCTCATTGCAGCCCAAGCCATATTGCTGGCACATGTTGCCACGCTAGAAGTCAGTTTCTCTGAGGTGCTTATTTTCCCCACCTTTGCAGCTGTTGGTGGCTGGGTTGCTTAATATGTGTTAAAGCAGAACTCTTGCTGAGTTCTGAAAAGCAGCAGAGGCAACCCTACCTGTTGTTTTGATCATAGGCTTCAGACAGCTTAAAAGTCACGGGTCTGTCATGTACAGAGCAAAACTTAGCTTTGAGAGTTCAGCAAAGTTACATTAAATCACTGTGTAGATCAGCATGGCAGTTAGTCCATCTAATTTTATAACAGTTTTCTTTATTATTGTGAGAAATGAAGTTTTGATGCTCCAGTCCTCAGCTCTAAAAGATGAGAGAGTAATTGGGAAGAACGCAAAGCACATTAGGCAAATTTTGTTTACAAGAACACCATTGATTTAGTATTTGTAAAGTAGTTATGAATTCTGAAATAGCTTCAGATGCTAATCCTGTTCCTGAATCTCTGTGACAGTTTTTGCAGTTTTATACATTTTTTTGAAGATAACTATTTTTTTCCTCTCAAGGAAGCATGGAAACCTATGTTTAGAATAGGCAATAAACGCATGAAATGTACTACCAAATGCAAAATAAACATACCCAGGGAAAAAAGTTTTTCCTCTTGTTTTCCTTCCCTGACCTAACCTTCATCACATTAAAACTCAGGGAGGCAAGAGCAAGACTGGTGTGAAGGGGAACAGCTGTTACATTCTCCAATACATATTGGATGTTTTGTCGTATGCTGTTGAATTGTTCCTTGTAGTACACTATTTCAGCTTTATGATGTGGCACTTAACACTAAGATGGCATGTGTGCTTTCCTGGTACTCTGCTGTTCATGTTCATTATTTTTCTTTGGGGGTCAGGATGATAATTGATTGTTGTGATAGTATTATCTCTTCTAACTATTGTTTTTTTACTTTGTGAAAGCATACTAACTTTTCCCTTCTGCTGTGGTGTGGTTTTTCTGTTGTCTTTTCTGCTCTTTAGGTATTGATGGACAGTCTTGTGCACAGTGAGATCCTACATAGTGTAGAATAGGACCTTTAAAATAAGGACTATAAATAAAGAAAACTTGTGGACTTCAGTCGCAAATGTAACAAACTATAATTTAACAATGTTCTATAGGAAGTAAGACTTTCATAGTATGAAAAGGAGGCCTTGAATAACTCTGCTTTAAAAAAAAAAAAAAAGTATTTATTTGGTTGTCCTATAGCGAAGAATATTTTTAAGCAGGAGGAGAAATTCACGTGTTTCAGATTCAGCTGTGCTCCAAAATTATTTGTGCATTTTGGAAAATTCTGCCTCAGAGTTCAGAGAGAAGCAAAAAAAAAAAGGGGGGGAGCAAACTCCTCTGTCAGTTGTTTTTTTTTGTGAGTTACCCCATCTCTTTCCAATCGGAATTGCAAATTGTTGTGTATTGTTTAAACTTGGACTGTAGAAATAGTAATAATAGGGGATCAAACTCTCTAACCAGTAGTGGGTTTTCTGTTGTAATACAGAAATAGTAGGGGAATACCTGTTTTAGCACTGCTCCTAAGTATTTGCTGGTTCATGATCTCTGATGCTGCAGGCATTGATTGAACTGAGCGAAACACTGAATTTTGTTTTCCTTGTTGTACTCAGTTCTAATCTTCTAATTTCTTGTAGCCATGTGGAACACCGGAGGACTTCATGGCCATCATGCTGGCTGCTACATATGTATCATGTTAAGCAGCTGGACAGTTCAGCAGTCATGGATAATTTCTGGATCAATGACACACGATGTTGATACATAACACACTGATTGTGAAAGATGTTGATAATGGACATATTTCAAAGTGGACTCTGAAATGCCTCAAATAAAAATGCTATAAGACCCCAAAACTGAAAGGATAATTTTGTGTTACAGCAATAGGCAGAAGAGAGAGAAGTAATAGGGGATTAAAGTTACAAATAATGCTTAAAAGTTCGGTGTGTAATAGTCACATTAAATGTGAATGATGCTTCTAACCTTAATGCTGTTGAAATTCAAGGTATTTTCAAGACAATAATTCAACAAGAAATGAATGTATTTTTGCTATGTGATTGTTATACTAAAATCTTACTAAGAAACCTAATCATGAGAGTGGGAAGGACAGGGTTTATCAAGTCTTCCTGTCCGTGACCTCATCAATTCAGAAAGGCTTTTTTTGCTGCACTTACTACTAAATTTTATCTAATTTAGTCTTAAATAAATTCCTCTTTTGTGTGGAAAAAGACATTTTACTTTATATTGTGTCTTGCTGTTGTATTCTGATGCTCAGCCTATGCCACCCTCTTCCCTAAGTTCATCCTGCTCTTTTATTTAAGTCCCTGAGCACCACTTTGTGTAATTCCTGTCTCCTCTGTGATTTGTGCTACCATATTTCTCAATAGCTGTCATCCAAGTAGCCTTATTTAGTTATTTTGATTTTTTCTGCTTCCTTTTTTAATAGATGTTGAAATTTTTAGCTTAAAAAGCAAACATAGCCGTAAAACGTGGAGTGATACTGTGTTTAAGAGCAACTGAGAATCTCTTTGTAGCCACTCCTGTATCTTCATTGCTGACTTGTGATTTCCTATTTGCCAGGTTGGTTACAAATGGTACTGCCAACCTTTCTAGTTCGAGGATGAGTGCATCTAAGATGTCTTGCTAGAGCAGAGTTCTTTCTTCTCTTGAATTCACTTTTTTGTCATGTGTGAATGTATATGTGTAAAAGCACGCATACAGTAATATTGTAGTGGTAAAGGTCATGCTGTTCACCCCATATTC